GCCGTGTACATTTTTGTCAGAAAAGGTACCCCGTTAAGTTAACCTCCTTTATCCGCGTGAAATACCAGAACGTGGGAGCAGGGTCACCCCTTGTATAATTCAATGCAGGTATCAGTCATTGCAACGCTGAGATAGGCTTATCAGTTCTGCAACTTTCGAGTTCTGCAGATCAAAGTCTTGAATTACCTGGTCTGTTAAATGAATGCTGTTCATATCTACTTTTAAAATAATAACCAGGTAAACTAAAACTGTGGTTACTGACATTAAAATACAGTTCGGTAGTACCTGGAAGAAGTGAATTATGGTGAGATGCGCGTCATGACAAAGAAGAAATGCCATGCATTGCTGCATTGATACAGAACAGTCTTCCCCCATACGTCCTCATCTGTGTGTGAGAGCGCAGTCACGAAGACATTATTAGGCACTTCATAGAGAAATTTAGAAAACAATTAATTTACTTTATAACTCTAAATATTGCAAAATTGGAACAAATTCCGCTTTGTGTCCTTGCTGCAGATTACTTAGGATTTCTTTTTGTGAGAGAAATCACATCAGGGAAGATCTTTTTGTTAGACAGAAATAAATGTTTTCCTAGTAGAGTGACAACATGAGACTAGAAAAATTCTCTGTGTTATATATCAGAATTTATTGTACTCCATGTCAAGAGGGTTTACTGTTTCCATTAGAAACTCATTGCAGAATTTATCTGGATACAAACTTCTGAGTTTTTCCATTTCAGCTATCTTGTAATTGTTTCATACTCATTTGTTCTCATGCTCACATTCTCCTTTTGCTTATTTAACTGCTCCCACCCCCTTTTTTCTCTGTGGTGCTTATAGACCAGATTTCATTTTCTGTCATTTTTATTGTCTGTTTGTTGATTGTGCTTTGCTGTGCTGAAAACCCACACTCGTAGTCTTACCTTCAGGCTAGATTCTCTGTTAGGGTAGACCAGAGGAATAGTCTTTTTCTCTGCATGATCCAGTGTCAGTCTTCAGTGAGTTCAGGATATAGGTCACAGAATCACAGTATGGTAGGGGTTGGAAGGGACCTCTGTGGGTCATCTAGTCCAACCCTCCTGCCAAAGCAGGGTCACCTACAGTAGGCTATAGAGGACCTTGTCCAGGCGGGGCTTGAATATCTCCAGAGAAGGAGACTCCACAACCTCCCTGGGCAGCCTGTTCCAGTGCTCCGTCACCCTCAGAGGGAAGAAGTTCTTCCTCATGTTCAGACGGAACTTCCTCTGCTTCCGTTTGTGCCCATTGCCCCTTGTCCTGTCACTGGGCACCACTGAAAAGAGCTTGGCCCCATCCTCCTGACACCCACCCTTCAGATATTTGTAGGCATTTATAAGGTCCCCTCGCAGCCTTCTCTTCTTCAGGCTGAACAAGCCCAGTTCCCTCAACCTCTCCTCGTAGGGGAGATGCTCCAGTCCCCTCACCATCCTCGTAGCCCTCCGCTGAGCTCTTCATCTTTCTTGAACTGGGGAGCCCAGAACTGGACACAGTACTCCAGATGAGGCCTCACCAGGGCAGTGTAGAGGGGAAGGAGAACCTCCCTCGTCCTGCTGGCCACACTCTTCTTGATGCACCCCAGGATCCCATTGGCTTTCTTGGCAGCCAGGGCACACTGCTGGCTCATAGTTAACCTGTCGTCCACCAGGACACCCAGGTCCCTCTCCGCAGAGCTGCTCTCCAGCAGGTCCACCCCAAGCCTGTACTGGTGCATGAGGTTGTTCCTCCCCAGGTGCAGGACCCTGCACTTGCCCTTGTTGAACCTCATCAGGTTCCTCTCTGCCCACCTCCCCAGCCTATCCAGGTCACGCTGAATGGCAGCACAGCCTTCTGGTGTATCTACCACACCTCCCAGTTTGGTGTCGTCAGCAAACTTGCTGAGGGTACATTCTAACTCTTCATCCAGGTCGTTGATGAAGAAGTTAAACAAGACTGGGCCCAGTACTGACCCCTGAGGGACACCACTTGTCACCAGCCTCCAACTAGACTCAGCGCCCCTGATGACAACCCTCTGAGTTCTGCCATTCAGCCAGTTCTCAATCCACTTCACCGACCACTCATCCAGCCCACACTTCCTCAGCTTCCCCAGGAGGATATCATGGGAGACTGTGTCGAAAAATGCGAAGTTAATGCGAAGTATTCTGAAAGGACTAAAAAGTAGGATTAGAATCCAAGAAGAAAAAGCCCTATTAGTGTGGGGAGACATCAGTGAATTACTAAATGTCATTTAGGTTAAAGATACAAGTAGAATCACAGAATCATAGAACCAGAATCTTAGAACAGTGTGGGCTAGAAGGGACCTTTAAAGATTATCCAGTTCAACCCCCTTGCCATCTTCAACTAGATCAGGTTGTTCAGGGCCTGGCCTTGAATGTTGCCAGGGATGGGGCATCTACTGCCTCTCTGGGAAACCTGTTCCAGTGTTTCACCACCCTCATCATAAAAAATGCCTTCTTTATATCCAGTCTAAATCTGCTGTCTTTTAGTTTAAAATCATTACCCCTTGTTCTATCGCAACAGGCCCTGATAAAAAGTCTGTCCCATCTATCTTATAAGCTTCCTTAGGTACTGAAAGGCCACAAGAAGGTCTCTCCCAAGCCTCCTCTTCTCTCTCCTGTCCTCCAGGACCTCTCAAAGATGATGGAGAGTGGCTCAGCAATGACATCCACCAGCTCCCTCAGCACTCGTGGGTGCATTCCATCAGGGCCCATGGATTTGTGGATGTCCAGATCGCTGAAGCAATCCCTCACACAGTCCTCCTTGACCAAGGGAAAGTCGTCCTCTCTGTAGGCTTCTTCTCTTACCTCCGGGGCCTGGGATTCCTGAGGGCCAGTCTTAGCACTGAAGACTGAAGCAAAGAAGGCATTCAGTAGCTCTGCCTTCTCCGCATCCTCCGTCACCAGGACACCCGCCTCATTCAGCAGCGGCTCTATGTTGTCCCTAGCCTTCCTTTTGCTGCTGATGTAGTCAAAGAAGCCCTTCTTGTTGTTTTTGACATCCCTTGCCAGCTTCAGTTCCAGGTGGGCTTTGGCCTTCCTCGTCACATCCCTGCACGCTCTGACCACATTCCTGTACTCTTCCCAAGTGGCCTGCCCCTCTTTCCACATTCCATGGACCTTTCTCTTCTGCCTGATCTCCGCTAGAAGCTCCTTGTTTAACCATGCAGGTCTCCTGCCTCCTTTGCTAGATTTCTTTCTCAGGGGGATGCACCGCTCCTGAGCATGGAGGAAGTGACGTTTAAAGAGTGACCAGCACTCTTGGACCCCCCTGCCTTCACAGAAATCCAGCTGGGTAATCCAATTGGTTAGCATTTTATAAAATTATGTAAAAATGCTTCCCTTACCTAACCTTCCCTAACCGTTCTGGAAATGCTTGTTAGTGCTACTCAGGATTGTATTTGCGTTCGTGATGACTTACGGTCCTGCTGTGATTCAGTACATGCTTCTACATTTGAATCTCTAAAGAAGGGGTTTGTCATATTCTGTTTGAAAGTTGATGCACTCAGATCAAATTTCAAAAAGGTCTGATATTCTGTAATCTAAGTATAACGTTCCCATCTGTTGATTTATTTTAGATTTTTGAGTTCTGAAACAGTGAACGAAACCTGCAGTCCCGTCTAGTTAATTGTAAACCTTGAAACTGGTTTTCACTTAAGCTGAGTTATAAGTGGTTCGATATCAAGGCATTCAAGTTGCACACATGGATTTTGTAACTGAGGTGTTAGGCCACCTGTGTAGAACTCGGACCCTACTGCATCTCAAGGCAATACCAACGAAAAAGGGTTCTTTCCATTCAGATAAAGAAGTTGACTTGAGTTCAGGCAATGCAAAAGTCAGAAGAGAGATTTATGCCAGGGGCTAGTGCTAGCCAAAAAAAGCTTTGTGGTATGTGGCGAGGAATCCCCTTTTAACTGGATGTTTCCCAGGAATTTTGTAGTGATTTCATAATTGAATCCATGTAAAAGTGTCATGATTTGTAATGTGTTGGGTTTTTTTCCTAAAATTGTCAGCAAAAAAAGAGATCTCAGACTAGCTGATGTCTTGGATTTGAAAGAATGTTGTAAGCTGTCAAGTTTGTTTGGCAACCAGTTTGAACTTTCCTGGTAAACCAGTGTTGTTGCATTATTAGATTTTCTCTTTACCGCCGCATAATTATTGATCCCTTCCTTAAAAAAAACATCCTACAAGCTTTGAATATTTTCAGAGTCACACATTATGCAGGAATATAATGTAATACATAATTTTTGATCCTGTAAATTTACTTGGAACGGTTGTAATGTGTATTTGGCTCTGAAGAGCCTGTTCACTGAATGATTAGGATCTATGTAACGTGCCACTCTAGCAGTCAAGCCACCTGTCCTGGTTGCCGTTTAACACTCTGACAAGGATTGTAGAGAGATGTTTGACAGGTCGAGCCCTTAGTTATGGCCTGAATTAGTAGTCTCGTTTATTGTAAAATCAGGATTTGCACTGGTACTCCATTCACTTGTACACAGTTGTGTATGATCTTACGCATTTTTGGAAGTCTTTGTCCTCAGTTTTGCTGTCTGTAAAGAGAAGATTATTTTTTTTAGAATAAACTGTATTTTCATTGAAACAGCAGAATTAAATCTGCTTTGGGTGAATTTTTGTGCATATGTATTTAGAAAATGCAGACTTATACTATAGTTCTTACATCATGTTAAGGAAGTTACACATACACATGTATTTATTTGTGTAAAATGAAGTCTAAAAATTAGTCTGCAAAATGTCATCTTTATACTACATCTAAACTATTCTGTTAGCATTTGATCTGAATTGCGGGTTGCAGCATTTACATGGGTAAAATGGTGGACCTTTGCTAATTCTTGGTGATTAATCTTTTGCTACTTGCTTTCTTAAAGGATTATTAGGATTTTTCCTGCTGTAGTAAGTTCTGTAGATAATACTGCACCCTTATTTACAGTGTTTTTCATCTTCAGGACTAATGGCAAAGGAGTAAACCAACATGGCAGCTATGGTCCCACCTGTGAAGCTGAAATGGCTTGAACATCTAAACAGCTCCTGGATCACAGAAGACAGTGAATCTATTGCAACAAGGGAGGGAGTTTCTATCTTGTACGCCAAGTTAGTCAGCAATAAAGAAGTAGTGCCATTGCCCCAGCAGGTTCTGTGCCTCAAAGGACCTCAGTTACCAGATTTTGAGCGGGAATCTCTATCTAGTGATGAACAGGATCACTATTTGGATGCTCTTCTTAGCAGCCAGCTGGCACTGGCGAAGATGGTGTGCTCAGACTCTCCATTTGCTGGCGCGCTTCGGAAACGTCTCCTTGTGCTGCAGCGTGTCTTCTATGCACTTTCTAATAAATATCATGATAAGGGGAAGGTGAAACAACAGCAGCATTCGCCAGAAAGCAGTTCTGGATCAACAGACGTGCATTCTGTCAGTGAACGTCCTAGGTCAAGTACAGATGCGCTCATAGAAATGGGAGTTAGGACTGGATTAAGCTTGCTGTTTGCACTGCTAAGACAGAGTTGGCTGATGCCTGCATCAGGACCTGGCCTCAGTCTTTGCAATGATGTTATCCATACTGCAATAGAAGTCGTGAGCTCTTTACCGCCTTTATCTTTAGCGAATGAAAGCAAGATTCCACCAATGGGGTTGGACTGTTTATCACAAGTAACAACATTTCTTAAAGGAGTGACAATTCCAAACTCTGGGGCAGACACTTTAGGTCGTAGATTAGCTTCTGAATTGCTTCTTGGTTTGGCTGCCCAACGAGGTTCCTTGCGGTATCTTCTTGAATGGATAGAAATGGCTTTAGGTGCTTCAGCTGTAGTAAACACCATGGAGAAAACGAAGTTGCTGCAGAGCCCGGAAGGGATGATCAGCTTTGACTGCTTTATGGGTATATTAACACAGATGCGACGATCTTTGGTAGGTATACAGCTTTGATTTTTCTACATTGCAAATGTAGTTGCATTCTTAACTTTAAATAGTTTCTCAACACTGAATGACAGTTTGCTGGACAGTTTGTTTAATATGTTAAAAAGAGGGTTTTTCTGTCAAATGCTTCTTTCGTTATTTCCTTTGTTACCCACCTTCTCTTTCTGTTCGTCCCTGACCACCCGTTTCCTCGTAGGTAAAGGAGATGAAACAGCAAAGCAATGCCTGTGTTGTCATTCTTGGCGTTACGCTCTAACTTCAGGAAGAGAATCAAGGACATGCTTGATCCACTTGCACTTTACATTTAAGTTCACAGCAAAAGATTAGGAAGTACGGAACTGTTTTTTTAGGCTTGCTTTGCTGAATTTGCTTAGAATTCAATGTTTTGCAATGTATTAAAAATTTAAGAATGAGGACCAGAAGAAGAGCATGGCAGTGACGGAACCTGAATTGGATTGAATGTCTTGACGGGCAACTTCATTTGTTTGTGGTTTTTTATATCCTAGATATAAAATTAGAGTTAAAAATGCAGAAGATATGTAAACACAAAAATAATGATGATTAGTCATTTTTAAATTAAACTTTAAACTAAACACAAGTGGCATGCATTTCAGAACAAAACAGTATTAGGAAAAATTAACTCTAAACGCAGATATTTTCACAAAAATGAATAAATAAGAATGTCTGACTAGCAGTTATCACATTTTTGTTGTCCTGAAGCGTATGCAGATATACTCAGGGGAGAAAGGTGGCTTACTTATGCTTATAGAAAGAGCTTTTAATTTTGCTTAAGTATAAGAACATATCCCTGATATATTTTGTACAGGTGCGCTGTTGCTGTATGGAAGTATTTCTCTCATAATAACAACATTTTAAAATTGTAGGGGTCATCCGCTGATCGAAGTCAATGGAGAGAGCCAACTAGAACATCTGATGGCTTATGCTCTCTTTACGAGGCAGCTCTGTGTTTATTTGAAGAGGTATGTCTTGAAACGAACCTTAAGGTAATTGTAGCCTACTTTCCCCTGACACATCTGATTATTGCACGCATGTGGGTATGGTCCAGTCTCTGCCGAGTTATTCTGGAGTGGAAGAGGAAGGTAGAAAAACATAAAAGACTAAGATGTAGCGAAGCAAAGCAGTTTGGGCAAGCTAATGATATGGTGATGGATGATTTGTGTTTTAGGCAGAGAATTATGTTGAGAGGAGATTAAAGTTGCATTAAACATTGTGACTATGTGGAAATAAGTGAAAATGCTACTGTGTAATAAGTCTCTAATTTTAATAGGTTTGTCGAATGGCATCAGACTATTCAAGAACATGTGCCAGCCCTGACAGCATTCAAACGGGTGATGCTCCCATTGTTTCTGAGACCTGTGAAGTGTATGTTTGGGGTAGCAACAGCAGTCATCAACTGGTAGAAGGAACTCAAGAGAAAATACTTCAACCCAAGCTTGCTCCAAGTTTTTCTGATGCACAGACAGTGAGTGACATTGCTAGTGGTACATTATGTAACATGCAACAGCTTCGTAGTTACATTATGAAATTGGAAAATAGTACTTTATTTCTGAGTGTCGAGTTGTAATGAAGGAATGATGCTCAGAGCTAATCACACAAGTTATTTTACTGAAAGTATCTCACTACTTCTATTGATGTTTGGGAAAAACATTCTGTTTCTTTATTAATGACACGCACAGATTGATAGCCATGTAACAAGAATGAACGAATTATCTAAGTTGCTATGAAATGCATTTGCAGAGACTAATTTGCTTGCCTGTAGTTGGTTTTTTTACCTTTGTTTTAAAGGTGTCTTAGCTACTCAGTCTTCTTTTCCGTTGGTGGTTTTCACAGCAATGTTGCCTAGTTTAAAAGTCCAAACCGGGCTAACTGCTGGCACAGCAACCTTAATTAGCTTTGTGAAAACCAGTATACAGTATGCTCTTTCTGCTCTCAGTCACAGGTTCTGCAGTTGCAACTGAGCACTTCTATTGATGCGTGACACAGAATAGAATAGCTTGCTTTTCTGTTACTGTACTGGCTTTGCAATGTTGACTTAAGTAAAAACATTTTTTTGGTCACTAGACAATTTAGGTTGATTTTCTGAAACTGTTTCTATTGACGTCACTGATACATTTTACATGCCAGTGGACTGCAGGACCAGACATCATAAAGCAAGTTTATGCATTCAAAACACTTTGTAAACAAAACACTAATACACAAGAGTGCTCTGAATGAAGGAGTTACTCTCCAGATAGTACTGTATACACCCAAACAAGATATTTATGTGATTTCCCACTGGGATAAAGAATTTTTTCTTTAACTTTTATTGATGATCTTTGTAGGATTTGTCTATATGAAGAAGTGAATTCACAGTAAATAGGGCCGTGACCATGCAGTCCACCACCTGCTTTGTGCCGTTCTACGATGTGCACGTACAGTGCCTTTGTGCTGCAGATTTGAACCTGCTTTGCACTTACGGTGTGTTAAGATTCCTGTAGGAGATTATTGCAGGGTTAAGTGGTGTGCTGTCGGGTTGTTCTTCAGCTGTGCGCTGGCTTTCCGTTAGAGGCAAGTTCTTACTTTCTTAACAACTTTTGATCTTATATCTTTGGTGTTTATGTAATTAAAATTCATAGTCTCAAATGGTAGTGGATTTTTAGGATTTGGCATATTTCTGTAATGTTACCACTTGGTACTGGTTAAAATTAATCAAAACCTACATTGCTTTGTCAAGCCATTACTTTGTCTTTTTAATCTTGAGAAATTAAGATACCAGCAAAGACTGTCCACTTCCATCCATGAATCTTGGAAATCTGAAGGCAGCCTGAATTCTGTAGTTTGTAGAAGAGATGCAAATAAGTAAAATAGGTGAATCACTATTTACATCCTTTACCTCAAAAAAACAGATTTACTCAAAATATTTTTCAAGAATTTGAATTTTGCTGCTTGCTGAAGTCCAAATTCTCCCTAGTTTTCACATGTTATAGGAAAGGGTTATGTAAAGAAGCCTGACGTCAGACTTCGAGACCTATATGTGAATTTTACATTTATCTAATACTTCTTTTTTACTTTTCTAACCTTTTTGTTTATAGATTGAAGCTGGACAATATTGTACTTTTGTTATTTCTACGGATGGTTCTGTTAGAGCCTGTGGTAAAGGCAGCTATGGGAGACTAGGACTGGGTGACTCCAATAATCAGTCCACGTTGAAAAAATTGACTTTTGAGCCTCATAGGTCCATTAAAAAAGTGTCATCTTCAAAAGGATCTGATGGTCACACTTTAGCATTTACAACAGAAGGGGAAGTCTTCAGCTGGGGTGATGGTGACTATGGAAAACTGGGACATGGAAATAGTTCAACTCAGAAATATCCCAAACTTATTCAGGGTCCTCTGCAAGGAAAGGTATGTTTTGTGTAGTAGAACACCTATTTTTGTTCTATTCCATTGTGATATTGTGTAAAGTTTGAAATACATGAAATCTTTAGAAAAAGTCCTGTGTTGTATCTAAACTCTTTGAAGCTGGGTCTGCTTGCAGCAAAGCACTACAACTTATGGTTGCCTTTACGCAGTGGCATTGTCAGTAAACCCTTTCACAGTCTGAACTTGCTCATGAGCTTTAGCTGAGCAGTGGTGACATTGCAGGAGATGGTTGCTTTTGTTAGCTGTAACATTTTCGTGTACCACTTTTTAGTGGCTTCATTTGAACGGTGGCTTTGTGTCGTCCTGCAGTCTTCCCTATCTGTCTATGTTTTGGCCAGTGTTTTAAACATCCACTGATGCTTCTTTTTGCTGCTGTAAGATGAGAATATCATTATGTTACATTTGCTTGATAAACAAATTGTGACCGGTTTTATACATAAAACTGGTGTCTCTGTGTACTGATTTCCACTTAGAAAATACTAAGTAAAAAAGGTTGCAAAGGTTAATTTACGTGTGTACTTCCTCCACACGAGTGAGCAACTCACTTTACGTAGACTGCTTCTGGAACTTGACTTTCGTAACCTTTCAAACTTCCTATTCAATTTGCATGAAAATTTAATTTTTATTTTTGCATGTCATGTAGGTGGTTGTGTGTGTATCAGCTGGATACAGACATAGCGCTGCTGTGACAGAAGATGGAGAGCTGTATACATGGGGAGAAGGAGATTTCGGAAGATTAGGTAAATATAAAATTTCACGAGATGCTTTTGGAAGAATTCCTGTGTCTGATAATGATACTGTACATGTATTTGCCTTGTTCTCTTATTGTCCCCTCAAAATACACATGCAGATATGTGTGTCTATGGGTGACGGTATTAAAACTAGAGAAGAGACTCTTAAAAGATTTTAATGCAGTTGATTTTACAAAGATTCTATGTTTTTATATTTTTCTTTTCAGGAAAAGCTGCCTTTATTCATTCATAAGACTATATATGATTGCCACAGCTACTGAAATGTAAACAGTAGACATTTTAAATAAACTGTAATTCTAGGAGAACATGATCTGGTGGTGGTGGGATGGTTCTTTGGACAGTCATTAATAACTGGCTAAAAATACCAAGGGTCTGATTCTAATGTGATACTAATAAGAAGACTTGACATGAAGTTTGCCAGAACAGCTTAATATCATTTTATCTTAAAACGTCTATAAATATTGAACTGAAAC